GGTGGCAAATTAACAAATACCTGATGTAATTTTTTTGAATGAACCAATGGTTCAAAATTTGAAGATGGTGGTGGTGGTAATTTATATATATTTTTTGATTTATGGCCCTTCTTGCTACTGCTTTCAGTATTCTCATCCTCCTCCTTTTCCTTATTGTCTGATCTCAGGTTGTTCAAAAAACACTAGTGGGATATCAGAACTGGCATGAATTCTTTTTTCTCGTCATCAGAAAATACCTCAGTATTTTCAGGGAGACAACAACATCAGGGTATAGGATAAATTTTCTGATCACATGATTATTAGCCAATAGATAATTATAATTTAGTATAACATAACACAATTAGGGGTAACATGTAAACAACATTGATTTTGAAGAAATTAGCCATTATTTCAAAAATTCAACTAAGAAATTGCTCTTTGTGCTCTAATTAAAAATTTTATTTGAATGATTTTACTAATAATTTTGCTAAACTCAAATCTAAACATTAATACTAACCTAATTTAAACGAAACTTTAAGTGCTATGATAGGATTTTGTTGATCATCATGTGATCGGAAAATCTATTCTACATGCTGGCTTCTTCCAGGGAGGCAAACTCGAAGATGAACTTGCTTTTATCATAATTGTAAAAAATAATTGTTTAATTTTTTAATTTTTTTTTTGCTTTTTTTATTGATGGATAATCATTGTATTACCAATGACATTATATGCTACTAACATGTGATATAAGATCACAAGCTGATCTGCAAAATAGTGTACTTTAATTTTGACTTAGAAAAGGGGTAGTATTGCTTAGCAAAGTTACGTACAATCGCACAAAATCAAGAAAAAAAGAATTTTAGCAGGCAAATTTGCCTGCTGGATGGTTTAAGGGATACTTTAATTTAATATAATTTATATTCTAACTCTGATCTTTAAATAATAATTTTTTTATATAAAAATTTTATAAAAATAAAGGGTGGTTAAAATTTATTGTTTTAACTAGTGGTTAAAATTAGTTAAATAGTAAATTAAAATAAATTATTTTAATAAAATTTTAAGTAAGTTTAATTTATAAAATTGTTTCAAAATATTTTAAAATATTTCAATTTATGTTTTAACTATCTTATGACAATACTGCCTACTAGTATAGCAGTTTAATAGCAATACTTTTTTAGAGTATAAAGTACCCTGACTGCAAGTATTAGTCTCAACTATAGCACATTGATAATACAACAAAAATATATTTAAGCATCTATTAGAGCATCTGGGTAAATGTTAGGTTGCTGTGTTAGGTTAATATAGCCTAGTTTAGATTATAAAATAGTTTAATAATTATGTAATATATTTATAGATATATTTAATAAAGCGTCACTAGCTTTTCTTGCCAAAATTTAAAAAAAAAAAATATCAAATATAGTAGAGAATTTACTCAAAAAAGTAAAAAACAAAAAAGGCTTAACTTTATAGCAAACTATTTAAAATATCTATATCTCAGTATATTATGTTTATAAACTTTGTTAACAACAACTCATATCAGAAAAGATCAAAATAATCTTGAACTTCTGATTTTAAAATTTTTAACTTGTAATTATTAGAAAAAATTTTATTATATCAATATATAATTGAATTATAATTTTTTTTAAAAAAATTTAATCTTTTAAAAATAAGCTATATTTAAAATTTTTGTATAATTTTTCTACCAAAAAAGATAGCTTATTTTGAATTTGTTTTATCTATTTAGCCTAAATATTAATTCAAATTTTATATTCCAGTAATAGCAATAATTATATAACAACTTGAATACGATTTAATTTAAATACATCTTGACAACTTAATTATTAACTGCATGCACTGGCTGATTCGTTTGTAAATCCTGTAACCAGCATGATTATTACTTCTTGATCCTTTTATAATTCTTTTAGATATATCGATATACATAATAATAGAGCTTGCCCGCTTATACTAAAAGTTCAACCGTAATTCAATCCTATTAAAGTTTGTCATTTTATTCGACAATTATATTACATTTAACCATTTTAACGCTCTAATTCAAATTCCTAAAGGGATTAGAAATTCTTTATAAATAATTTCATTCTTGACACTTTATAATTATAGATTCTCTTACTATTATCCATTTTATTCTTGACAATTTTGTAAATAATTCTTTCGTCCACTTCGTCGTTACAATCCAATTATAAAATTAGGACTTTTTGATTCTAGTAAAATTCTGTTCATATCTTTTGTTGCTTGGTTAAGGGACAAATTAAATCGTGACAACTACAGGCTCAATCTAATGCTATATTCGGGACTTTTGCTAACATAATGACCCATCGGGGCTGTCAATTTGTTAGCAAAGATCCCAGATCCCACATAATCTAGCGGTTCTACACAAAGAAAAATATGAGTGAAACCCTGGAAATAGATTTAATGATTGATTACAGGTTTTCACTCTCACGCACCCATATCATGACGTTTGCCAGCATTAGTGTAGTTTAGGCTGACAATCAAAGCCTGAAAATCGCAATCGAATCCGCCGAATTCAGATCCACATAGATTCGATACGTCATATATAAGAAGGTACAGGGTACGATCTGGATCCAGGATCCATTCAGAATCCGTCCAGTTCCGGATCCATACTTGGACCAGATTCGAATTTTCAGATCGAATCCGAATCTTTGAGAATATCCGTCCGATTCTATCCATACCAGGTTAGCAATGGAGTCAATGGAGCATAAAAAGCTAGTATTTTTGTTGTGATTTTATGTTACACCTGGTCTTGAATTTTGACGGCGAAATTTTTTAGGGTGGTGACGCTAGGGTGGTTATTGGCACCATTCGCAGCTCGTCATATGGACAAAATTTTTTGATTTGATGATTAATAATTATTTAAAATTTAATCCAATCATTTTTGTGATATATAACTTATATGTATATATATATAAATGATTTATAAATCATATGATACTTTTTAGCGACTTTAAATATTGTTTGTTATATAATCCTATTAATGTCCTTGCATGATACCTTGCATGATACCTTTAGTTTGATTAATTAATAAATTTACGATGTTAACGGAATGCAACACAAAGCCTGCCTATTGCCCTACCACAGGGACCTACGCTGCGATCTGTAACAATTAGTGTTTAAAAATCTAAGTCTAAATCTGGATTAATTTGCATATCAGATATATTTGAATACAGAGTGTATTATATAGACGTATTGTACATTATACAACATTCAGGCTATTTCTCTTTTCGTACTATGTACGTATGTATAGTACAACATTTGATAACAAATTGCATCCTCCAATTGGTTATTTCACTTTAAGTTCAAAATAAAAATATAATCGAATATTAATTAGTACTAATTAATTTTTTAATTGATAGATTTGATTAGATCAGTGGCTTACGGTCGATCTCAAAAATCAACAAATCTGTATGTGTAAAAAATGCTTATTCATTTCCGACCCTTATTTAAAGGACTGTATTTAAAGTGACTTTTTTGACACAACAAAATCAGATATCACGAGTGTTTAATAGTGTAATAAGCATAAAAATAAATTTAACATACTGTAAAGCTTTTTGAATGGTCAGCCGAGATTTTTCAGCAATTTCAGGTAAACGTCATATTTGCAGCCTAATATTAACGTTAAGGATGCTATCGTAGTACATACCGATGCGTACTAGATCGAGATGGCGTTTAGAGCATTGAATATAGGCTGATCTTCATGATTGGTCAATTTATGCAGTCGAATTTATAGAGTTTAGGTACTTTAACGATCTACTATAGAGCAATAGTAATACGTACGTACGTACGTAACGGTAGTAATTTTTTTAAAGAAAATGTAACCACCAATAAAATACCACAGAAATTCTTTGTATATTGTGCGCCTCAGAGATTCACCTCATTCAGAACCGGATTTCAGTCTAGAAAGATAATATGCAAATAACTGTAAACACTAAAACTCCTACGTAATTAGCTTATAAAACGACACGAAACTCGGATATGAAGTAATTAGGCATACGATTCATATGACTCTGGGAATTATAGAACTGTTAAAAAGCGAACATTTTGAGACCAACTTCAAATCGGGGCTAAATGTAAATCAAGAATGATACTTTGCGAATGGTCACTATCGCTATCTCGATAGGTCGTTTTAGCCCTTTTCCAGACAAGGTCTAAATGTAGGAAGTGCCATTCCTGCATGTCGGTTGTTCCAATTGTGTGATTAAGGAAAACATTCATGCAACGTCTGTTATTGTTAGTAAATAACTTGTTATTTATGAACGGGCTGGACCTGATTCCGAACCCTACGTACTTATACTACACAAAAAAAGAAATTTTTTTATTTAAAGCATTTTAATAATTAAAATTTCTAAATTTTTATTTATTTGACGTAAAGTTTCGGACTTTAATTTAAAGATTATCAAAATCATAGAAAATAAGCGGTGTAACGATAACTAATTTCACTAATTTCATTCATTCGGTTCGTAGGATCATAACACGATGCCGTTTTGCTATGACTAAGATTCTAAACCAAATAAAACCAAATTTATAAATATAAGGACTCCGGCTAATTTGTTTTAAACAAATCTATGTAGAATACCCCAATGTTTATATAAGGCGCGTTTTGATGTTCATTCAAAGAATCGAAATCTTATTAATTGTAACTAACTTGGCAACCATAATAACATCACATGCATATCAATTACGTAAATGATCCACAAATCTTAATCGCTTCGTTGAGGTTGAGGTTGTGTCTCACGATAATCTTGTATATTTATCGTTATAGTTTAATGAAAACTGATTGTATCATACATTAAAAATTCCCAAATTATAATAATTATAATAATTATAGTAAATGTGTAACTAAATTCATTAGCCATCTTTTTTTACTGCATATAATAATAATAATTGCATGAGTATTTTTACTGAAAGAATTTTAAACATCTCTTTTACATCTACGAGAAGATTATTCTCTTCAACTAAATAAAATAATTAATTAAAATTAACCCGAAATGGCTTTTCAACTTGGTCCTTCGGTTGCTGTTCTCTTGACTCTTATTATATTTTTCCTTTGCCTTCTTACCTTTGTTGGTGTCCCTCATACTGACCTTTCTCAAGACAAAAGTCGTTGGTTAAAATATCCTGCATGGCATCCTCCTCTCATAGGTATACTATATGTTTTATATCTACTTATAATATTATTATACTTTATTGTATTTTATAACAATTTGATTATTCATTAAAGGACGCGATGACAACAAAACCGATGGTGGTTTATTTTTCTCCTCTCTTATCATAACGTTCGGCTGCATTATAACCGCAAAGGTGACCGCAAATCCTCCAACTTCTCAAAAACTCCAATCTGTTTTTGTCAGTGAAACCGAACATGGCCCTAAAAAAGTTTCGGCTTACGGCTTTAATCGTCTTTTAATTCTTTATAGTTTTATTACCATGTTGACCTTGTTTTCAATTATTATCCTTGATGTTGGTAAAATTTGGGCGGCTCTTGGTATCACTCATAATGCCTCCGAATTTACGATTTTGGTTTTAATTGGCTCTGGTGGAAAACTTAAAAGTAATCTTTTTTGGGGACTTTTATGCTGCTATTGGTTCTTTGTTTATCTTGGTTCTCTTTTGATAGAGTGGCCTTTTGATGCTGTTTGGTTTAAATTCCAAGGTAACGTTTTTTGATTATTTTTATTATTATATATATATATATATATACGGTATATATATGTATATTTATAATTTAATTTGCAATATTCGTTTTAATATAAATTTTATATATAATAGGCCTCTGTTTTGACTACGCTCTTATGTTCACTTTCATCCGTATTTACATTAATACAAACCAAAAACTTAAGAATTTTAATCATGAAAACGTACCTCTTACTAGGGATGATGTTCATCATGATGGGCCAGAACCTCATCATTCACATGATCATCCACATGATCAGTCACATGATCACACACATGATTTAGAAGATGAATATGAAGTTATTCATCATCCACGTCAACTTCTGCTATTAATTCTTGCTTCAGTCTTTCATAATATTGGTAACCTCACTGCCACTGTTTCTTTTGATGAATTACTTCCGTATGTATTGTTATTTCGTGCCTACTCGTTATTTATTTCAAAGTTCTAACCTTTTATCAAATTATAGTTCACTTTTAACATCGTTAACCTACGGTGTCACTTATCCTGCTTACTTGTATTATGTATATGTAGACACTTTCAGTATAAGTATTTATCCACAAAAACTTATTTACTTGCCTTCCACTCCTGGTTGGAAAAAATTTATCATCGCCACGATATCAATTTGTTGTTCGCTATTAACTGTTCGTTTAGGTGCATTTTTGCAGGCTAGAAAAGATAATCATGGCGATGATATTACTGCTGTTTATTATTAAATATACCTGTGAGAAATCCTTTTAACTTGTATTATGTTTCTTTTATATTGTTTATATATTGTATATTTTTAAATTTTCTGTTGCATATACTTTTTCATTGAATATGTATCTCCTGCAATAAATCAAGTTTTGGCGCTATATAATTTCTGTTTTAATAAGAAATTCCTTGTTTATTTCAAAGGGATTACATTATCACTGTTTATATTGTGTTAACCATTGGTATCTGGTAGGGTTGGGGCACGAGGCATGCCCTTTTTCAAAAAAGTTATATATATAAAAAGTTGTCACGTAAAAAATTTTGGGGGCATGCCTATAGGGCATGCCTCTAAATCAAAAAAACCAGAGGCATGCCCGAAAATTTTCCCGTGCCCCCAACCCTAGTATCTGGACTTTCTTGATAACTGTTGGCCATACAAATTTTGAAAATTATTTAGAGCAGAACTAGCAGAACTAGTGAGCTCAATATCATGTTATTAACCCTCTTACCAAACATCTGTACCTATAAAACATTGAGGTTTTGTGTAATCTTCCGGGTCAGTGATATTTTTATAGAAGTTCGTGATCTGTAAACTTTAAACCGTAATATCTAATTTGATGAAAAATTTTTATATATTTGTAAAAGAAAAAATTATCAAGCTTTGTTAGGTTATTATTAATAAAATATTGTCGTTTAAAGTTTAAAAAAATTAAAATATCTTTTAAAATAAAAATTAAAATATTATTTAAAGCTTGTTTAGTTTATATTTGTGGTTTTAATTTCAGAATTCAAAATCTAAAATAATTTTGTTTATATATGGGAGTAAGTCAATAAAAATTAAGCAAATTTTTTATAATAAAGTTTTTAAAACTTTGAATCAAAATAATTTAAAAAATTAATTTTAATAAACATAAAATTAAGGCCATACAAACTTAATAAATTGGTTCTCATAATATAAAATTTTTAAAAGTGCCCCAGCAACCCGGCTTTTAATTTTATTTTCAAAAAATTTTATATATAAAAAACAATCGATTTTTTAAAAAAACTCACCCGGATAGTATCTACAATTAAAATTTTTTTAAAAGTTTTGTAAAATTTGACCCGGCCAGTTATAAGAACTAATTTATTAAGTTTATATAGCCTAATTTAAAAAATTTTTATCATAATTGATCAAGTTTTTGTTAAATTATTTTATTTTAAAGTTTTATTATAAAAATTTTGCTTGATTTCTATTGATTCACCTTAAATATAAAATATTTATCTCTTAACCATTTAGCAGGCAAATTTGTCTACTTAAATAATTTTTAGAAAATTTTTTTAAGTTTTCTTAAAATTTATTTAAGCTTGACCCTCTATTTATTGAATAAAATTGAAGATATTTCTTTTATAAATAACATCTTTAATTTTTAATATTCTATCTTTAATTTTGATAAAGATATTAATTATATTTTTAATAAAACTTATTTTTTAATTTTACTATTAAAATTTTAAAAAGTTTCTTAAAAGTTTATATGTTTCTGAAGAGAAATTTTTTAGTTATTATTAAATAAAGTTGAAATTTTACTTAATAAATTGTAAAAATAATAATAATAAAAATAATTTAATTGGTGATTTGCCAGTTCCAATTTTACTTATTTGTGCAGATAATACAAACCAAAAAAGAAAATCGAAGTTTGTAAATAAACTAAGTGCATAAAGATAGAAGTTTAGGGTTAGAGCATTAACATTAGAGGCTATAACAGTATACTGTTGCTTGTTATATATAAAATTTTATTTCTGAAATTTTTAATTAGTATACTAAGGTCAATTTAAATACTAGTTTTTAAGTATTTTTATTTTTTCTACTTTTGCACATGTTTGAAATTCATGTTGGGCTGATCTGGAACAATCAAATTTTGTGCTCTCTGATTGGCTATTTTTTCTAGAGATTTGTATTACCCACACAAATAAGTGACGTGTTATCTAGTGCATGATCATAGTGTAATATAATACAGATCACTATATAAATCATATAACCCTGAATGTGACATTTACCTAAGAAAAAAATTTTTTCATATTAAATTAATTGCTCTTATATATTAAGTGAAATTGTAGAGCTTATCAAGATACATCTAATGGTGACAAAAACATCAAAAACAGTCTAGTAGTTGTCAAGTTATCACTAAAAATGATTAGTAACTATGTAAAATTTTACATAGTTAGTTAATCATTTTTAGCAATATCTTGACAACTACTAGACCGTTTTTGATGTTTTTACCACTATTAGATGTATTTTGATAAGCTCTACAATTTTTACTTAATACAGAAGAGTGATTAGCTTAGTATAAAAAAGGTTTTCCTTGGGTGAACTCCACATACAGTATATAGATAATTTACATAGTGATCTGCATTATATTATATTATGAATATATACCAGATGACTGGCAAATCACTAATTAATTTTAAATTTTCTACAACTTTGTATTAAAATAATAGAGGGTTAAATCTTAAAAAAATTAAAAAAAAAGAAAAAAATTTTTCAAATTAAAATTTTTTAAAAAATTATAAATTTTTTTTTTATAAATAATCTTAAATTTTTTATAAATATTAAGCAAATAAAAATAAATTTTAAATAGTATATAATCATAGTTTTTATTTAAAAAAAATTTATATAATATTTTTATTTTATTTTGTTTTTTTTGAATATTAATGGTAAGATCATATTTCTGATTTTGTTAAAATTTAATTTAATTTCTCTATAATAAAAAAATATCTTTACAAAAAAAAGAATCTATTTAAATTTTATATCCTAAAATAGCAAGAAAAGAAACTCAGACTAATTTATCTGTAGCCTAAACTAACTAGAGTAGTGTTGTCACAGAACAGTTATAAATAGCAAGTTTGGATACTTTAAGCAATTTTAGACAATTAAATAAATTAAAATTACTTAAAATTTTATTAAAAATTAATCTATATTAATTTTTAAGTAAAATATATTCAGCAT